ATGTTTCAATTAATTTGAATATTTGTAGCTCCTTTTTAAGTTAATACCTGCAGTCAACTTGTGCAATACGCAGATTGCATTCTTCATTACACCTGTCACATTATTTTATATTATGAAGCTTACCGTAGTTCCCCAGAACAGTTGAGCCAGTCACGTGTTTGTTTGTAAATAGCACAAGGGAGACGGCGTTCGGCGAGTCTGTTGAGCAGCACACATGAGGTGATGAAGTTACACTTGAATGCAATTCACTACTAAATGTTTGCCACCAGATCTCTTATGTCTTTCTGCCAGAAGTCAAAGAACTGTGGATGGGTTGTCTGTACAGCTGCCATTTTTTCCCTGTGCTTCCTACTAGTGTTTTTTTCTCTCCTCTGTTCTTCTCCTCTCTGCTCCATGTACACGTCGCTCTTTCTTCAGAAAAGCATGCATCACAACTTTGTTCATTTGCACATTTTCTCTCGTTCACTTTCGCTTGTAAATGTTCACAGTCACCGAATATGATATTCTGTAGCTACTAGCTATGCTTGTATAACTTAATGAGCTGGATTTGCCTGTCTTTGCAATTAGTTTGTTCGTTTTCATTCGTTAGCATTTAGCTAGCAGCGTCTATGTGATTTCCTATTAGTTTAGGCCTCCTGTAGCTCAGTTGGTAGAGGATGGCGCTTGCAACGGCAGGGTTGTGGGTTTGATTCCCACGGGGGGCCAGTATGAAAAATGTATGCACTCACCAACTGTAAGTCGCTCTAGATAAGAGCGTCTGCTAAATGACTAAAATGTAAATGTAGTTTGTGCAAATTTTGTTCGCATTCTTCTAATAGAGGCCCAATGGGCTTTTCTTTCGTTTTTAGCACCCCCTTGTGTGCCATGCCAGTATTACTGTAAATCCTGGAATAAGAGAAGGAAAGTAACTACATATACAAAAGTATGTGGACACCCCTTCAAATTAGTGGATTTGGCTATTTCAGCCACACCCATTGCTGACTGGTGTCTAAAATCTAGCACACAGCCATGCAATCTCCATAGACAAACATTTGCAGTAGAATGGCCTTACTGAAGAGCTCAGTGACTTTCAACGTGGCACCGTCATAGGATGCCACCTTTCCAACAAGTCAGTTCGTCAAATTTCTGCCCTGCTAGAGCTGCCCCGGTCAACTGTAAGTGCTGTTATTGTGAAGTGGAAACAACTAGGAGCAACAATAGCTCAGCCACAACGTGGTAGGCCACACAAGCTCACAGAATGGGACCGCTGAAGCGCGTAGCGCGTAAAAATCATCTGTTTTCGGTTGCTACACTCACTACCGAGTTCCAAACTGCCTCTGGAAGCAACGTCAGCACAAGAACTGTTCGTCGGGAGCTTCATGAAATGGGTTTCCATGGCCGAGCAGCCGCACACAAGCCTAAGATCACCATGCGCAATGCCAAGCGTCGGCTGGGGTGGTGTAAAGCTCGCTGCCAGTGGCCTCTGGAGCAGTGGAAACGCGTTCTCTGGAGCGATGAATCACGCTTCACCATATGACGGTCCGACGGACGAATCTGGGTTTGGCGGATGCCAGGAGAACGCTACCTGCCCCAATGCATAGTGCCAACTGTAAAGTTTGGTGGATGAGGAATCATGGTCTGAGGCTGTTTTTCATGGTTCGGGCTAGGCCCCTTAGTTCCAGTAAAGGGAACTCTTAACGCTACAGCATACATAATGGCATTGTAGACGATTCTGTGCTTCCAACTTTGTGGCAACAATTTGGGGAAGGCCCTTTCCTGTTTCAGCATGACAATGCCCCGTGCACAAAGCAAGGTCCATACAGAAATGGTTTGTCAAGATCGGTGTGGAAGAACTTGACTGGCCTGCACAGAGCCCTGACCTCAACCCCATCAAACACCTTTGGGATGAATTGGAACTGCGAGCCAGGCCTAATCGCCCAACATCAGTGCCCGACCTCACTAATGCTCTTGTGGCTGAATGGAAGCAAGTCCCAGCAGCAATGTTCCAACATCTAGTGGAAAGCCTTCACAGAAGAGTGGAGGCTGTTATAGCAGCAAAGGGGGGACCAACTCCATATTAATGCCCATGATTTTGGACATGTAGTGTATAACTATGAAAATCTGGATACCGCCCAAGCCTAGTGATGATGTAGAATCCACGTGACATGGTGACTTTTTTTGTTGATTTCACGTTGGTTGACAACTCAACCAAATGTAAATCCAAACTAAATCAAATCAAATTTTATTGGCCACATGCGCTGAATACAACAGGTGCAGACATTACAGTGAAATGCTTACTTACAGCAATCTCCAGTGGAAATGTCATAAAATAGGCTACCTGAACACTTACAGCTACAGTGGGGGGGAAAAAGTATTTAGTCAGCCACCAATTGTGCAAGTTCTCCCACTTTAAAAGATGAGAGAGGCCTGTAATTTTCATCATAGGTACACGTCAACTATGACAGACAATTGGTGGAAAATAAGTATTTGGTCAATAATAAAAGTTTCTCAATACTTTGTTACATACCCTTTGTTGGCAATGACACAGGTCAAACGTTTTCTGTAAGTCTTCACAAGGTTTTCACACACTGTTGCTGGTATTTTGGCCCATTCCTCCATGCAGATCTCCTCTAGAGCAGTGATGTTTTGGGGCTGTCGCTGGGCAACACAGACTTTCAACTCCCTCCAAAGATTTTCTATGGGGTTGAGATCTGGAGACTGGCTAGGCCACTCCAGGACCTTGAAATGCTTCTTACGAAGCCACTTCTTCGTTGCCCGGGCGGTGTGTTTGGGGTCATTGTCATGCTGAAAGACCCAGCCACGTTTCATCTTCAATGCCCTTGCTGATGGAAGGAGGTTTTCACTCAAAATCTCATGATACATGGCCCCATTCATTCTTTCCTTTACACGGATCAGTCGTCCTGGTCCCTTTGCAGAAAAACAGCCCTAAAGCATGATGTTTCCACCCCCATGCTTCACAGTAGGTATGGTGTTCTGTACTCCTGAGTGGTGCAGTGGTCTAAGGCACTGCATCGCAGTGCTAACTGTGCCACTAGAGATCCTGGTTCGAATCCAGGCTCTGTCGCAGGCTGCGACCGGGAGACTCATGGGCGGCGCACAATTGGCCCAGCGTCGTCCAGGGTAGGGGAGGGAATGTGCGGCAGGGATGTAGCTCAGTTGCTAGAGCATGGCGTTTGCAACGCCAGGGTTGTGGGTTCGATTCCCACGGGGGGCCAGTATTTAAAAAAAAAATGTATTCACTAACTGTGTCGCTCTGGATAAGAGCGTCTGCTAAATGACTAAAATGTAAAATGTGTTCTTTGGATGCAACTCAGCATTCTTTGTCCTCCAAACACGACGAGTTGAGTTTTTACCAAAAAGTTATATTTTGGTTTCATCTGACCATATGACATTCTCCCAATCCTCTTCTGGATCATCCAAATGCACTCTAGCAAACTTCAAACGGGCCTGGACATGTACTGGCTTAAGCAGGGGGACACGTCTGGCACTGCAGGATTTGAGTCCCTGGCGGCGTAGTGTTACTGATGGTAGGCTTTGTTACTTTGGTCCCAGCTCTCTGCAGGTCATTCACTAGGTCCCCCCGTGTGGTTCTGGGATTTTTGCTCACCGTTCTTGTGATAATTTTGACCTCACGGGGTGAGATCTTGCGTGGAGCCCCAGATCGAGGGAGATTATCAGTGGTCTTGTATGTCTTCCATTTCCTAATAATTCCTCCCACAGTTGATTTCTTCAAACCAAGCTGCTTACCTATTGCAGATTCAGTCTTCCCAGCCTGGTGCAGGTCTACAATTTTGTTTCTGGTGTCCTTTGACAGCTCTTTGGTCTTGGCCATAGTGGAGTTTGGAGTTTGACTGTTTGAGGTTGTGGACAGGTGTCTTTTATACTGATAACAAGTTCAAACAGGTGCCATTAATACAGGTAACGAGTGGAGGACAGAGGAGCCTCTTAAAGAAGAAGTTACAGGTCTGTGAGAGCCAGAAATCTTGCTTGTTTGTAGGTGACCAAATACTTATTTTCCACCATAATTTGCAAATAAATTCATTAAAAATCCTACAATGTGATTTTCTGGAAAAAAAATTTCTCAATTTGTCTGTCATAGTTGACGTGTACCTATGATGAAAATTACAGGCCTCTCATCTTTTTAAGTGGGAGAACTTGCACAATTGGCGGCTGACTAAATACTTATTTTCCCCACTGTATGTCTGTTCCGAGCTCATTGGCGCGGGAAACGGTGAGGGCCAAGTTGAAACAATGTTGCAAGTTTGCTATAGCGAGAGCTCAAGCCAGACCAAGAGAGAGGCAGACAGGCGGAGGAGAGCACTTACTGCTTTTGACTGAACCAACTGCCATGCGTATCAAATGTGATTTAAAGAGGATATTTAGGCCTATTTTCATCAGGATATTTTCTACAAATATAATTTTCAGACAAATCCGAGGTCCGTGGCCACCGAGCGTGATCCGACCCGGGATCCGAGGGTCAACTGCAGAATTTTGGATCCTACCTGTTCATATATCGGGTCGATAATCGAGTTAAGGTATATCCGTGAAGACCTCGAGTTAATATAGCTAAAACAAACTTCTAAACTTCCACTAGAGGCACCATTGTATTTCTCTCCCCAAATAATAGCCTAAAACTTTTCTAATTCCTTATGTGTAATTATTACAGTTTGCATATACTTTGGTTTTCTAGTAGTATTATTTGTGATGAAATATGTGAACCAACTGCCCCACACTCCAAAGTAATAAGGTTAATATAGTAGTCTATCAGACCAGATATTTTAACATATTTAACCGCTTCACTTAAGTAAAATGTTTTAAACTTCTTCCACTACCACAAAAATACTTTTTCAAAGAGCTGAAGCAAGTCGCAATTTTTTTTTTTTAAATTACCATCTAGCTTCATGAATGTTGATGATGCTGTGATGTTGTGTTCTGACAGTAACTGCCTGACATACCGGCGAATCTACCTCCCTCCACGGCTGCCCTCTGACCTGCTGCAGCCGGGCCTGTTCAAAGGCACCTACGGCAGCCACGGCCTGGAGATCATCATGCTCAGCTTCCATGGACCCCACGCCAGGGCCACCAAGCTCACCGTGAGTCCCCCGCCCCCACCGCACCGTGGCTGGCCCCCCACCCCGCCTGGCCCCTACTGTTTCCAACAGTTTTTGAAATGGAAAATGAGAACAAATGTCCTTATTAACGATGTTTGAGTAGTACCTCTTTCATTTCAAAACTTTTTTCCCATTTTGTGCCTACTGAACATGCCCCTGCCCTTTGTCCTCCCTCCCAGGGGGACCCCAACGTCCCAGCAGGCCAGCTAACGCTCGATGTGGACCTGAATCGGCCTGTGCGCCTTCCGGACCTGGAGCACCAGCGCAGCGTGGAGGAGCTGTCTCGCCTGGTGCTGGGGGTCCATGAGAAGGTGCGGCAGGAGGTGCAGAGCCCAGACGTGGCACCCCAGGGGGCTGCTGCTGCAGAGGGGGCTGTGGCTGGTGGTGGGGCAGAGGGTCTGGAGTTGGCAATGGAAGCACAGTCAGAGAGCCCCCAGCCTGGGCCCAGTAGCAGCAGCAGCGCTCCCTCGGAGGCCCAGCCCTTCGTCCTGCCTCTGGGGGTCATGGCCCGCAACGAGGTGTACCCCCGTACCTGCAAGATATGGTGAGTCCATCCGTCTCACACGTGTTCAAATTGTATTTCATATTTCCTCATATAGCCAAGAATGCCTGGCAAATGTAGCTGCATAGTAGAGTGAGAAGAGATACTCACACATGTATGCTCACACTTGTAATGGTCATTTAGCAGACTCTTTCATCCAAATGGACTTAGTTAATGCATGTATTCAGTATATGTGGCCCATGTGGGAGTCAGACCCACACAACTCAAGTGTTACAAGCACAACACTCCGGCCAACTGAAACATTGGATCGCAACATGTAGGCTACGCAACAGGATATCTTGATTGATTTGTTTCTTCGTCAATTTCAGCTTCTACGGGACAGGCCTGATTGCCGGCCACGGCTTCACGAGCCCGGAGCGCACGCCGGGCCTGTTTGTCCTATTTGACGAGGACCGCTTCGGCTTCATCTGGCTGGAGCTCAAGTCATTCAGCCTATACAGCCGCCTGACTGACCAGCTGGCCCACGCCTATGCCCCCAACATGGAGCGCTTTGAGGCTATGCTGCGCAACATGCAGTCCTGGACATCCTGATGGGGCAGACCCACACGTCTCACACAAACACGTTTACTTAGGCCCCCTACACACACCCCGAGTGTTGACTGCACCTGGAATACCTCTGGCCCCCTAGTTTGTAAACTACAAGTAATGCCCATAGTTTTTTTTCCTGATCAGGACATGTGGTTAGGAAAAACTCTTGGCCCTATTTATCACTCGTATGTATGTATATTTTCCCATTATAGACCCCGAAAACACACACAGAAAAGCGTGATATTTACCCTCACCTATCCCTGTAGAATCTCTACTGTATGCACACTCTTCACAAACCCAATCACCTCGACACCGTCCCACACATTTCTGGCCCTGGACAGAAACAACCTTTAGCCCCCCCTAGGCACCTAAAACTCCACCAAGCCAACCGGAGGGAAATGTGGAGATGGTACCATATCGCTTATTATGTAATCCTCCCTCCCTGTCCAATGTTTCCCCTCTGCTTACCTCCACACGACCTCAGTATTTCTGCTGCTGCAGCTTGTCCACTGGTCATATGATATGACACTAAGGCCGCGTTTACACAGGCAGCCCTATTCTGATATTTTTTCCACTAATTAGTCTTTTGACCAATCACATCAGATCTTTTCACATCAGATCTTTTTCACAGCTGATATGATTGGTCAAAAGACCAATTAGTGGAAAAAATATCAGAATTGGGCTACCTGTGTAAATCCAGCCAAAGGCTTCCTCAAAAGCTTCTTATTTATTTTTTTAACCAAAGAAGAGGATTTGATGATGTTTCATCCCACAGACTCTTTTATTTTTTTTCACTCATTGGTCATTGGACCAATCAGATCAGCTTTGAAAAAGTGCTGATGTGAAATCATCTGATGTGATTGGTCAAAAGACCAATTATTGAAAAAAAATCTGAATTGGGCTGCCTGTGTAAATGCAGCCCATGAGTTCTAACTATATACCATGTCTGCATTGCCTAGTGCTAAGGGAAGTGAATAGGATTTCCTATTCGTTCTACTAAAGCTATTATAGTAACTATGCCTCATGTTTGGCTATTTTAATGCCTCATGTTTGGATGCATGCAGCATTTAATTAGTTTAATGCCACCTGTCTCTAATGCTCTTATTCACAATCCGATTAAACGCTTTTGGTTTGCTGTATATTAGTGTACATTGCTTATAGTTTGGTGCACAGATGGCATTATGGAATTGGAAAAGACTGCATCTCAGGCAATTTCACTCTTTACGTCACTCGGTCAAGGAAAATATAACAATATGTTAATATTACACAATAGGGCATGTGCATATCAGAAATTATTACTTTTTATTTGCAAAATACTTCTGATGGGTAGTATGTAGTAAAATGGAAATGTTGAATGAATGGAGATTAGAAAATTGGCGTATTTTGTACAAGCTTACGCTGTACTGTAGCTGCATCAGCCATTCCTAGTTGGACTGATAGCATTGCCCTTTGGACGCTTTTAACAGGGTGTTATAAAGATATTGCAACATCCTCTATAATAATGGCCATTTGCAAAACATTGCACAACACAAAATGTAATTGAAGGTACTCTCATACTGTACATTATTTACAGCGCCCAGGGGGTCTCCTATTGCAAGTGACCTTTTCTGGGCAGTACAGTGGATGGTTGTCTCAACTCCTCTATGGGTCCCTTTCCTTGACTCCTTTCCTTCATGACTACAAATGGCTGAAAGGACCGGGAGGGTTTTCCACCATATGGCTTTCACCAGTCTTGTCCTGTCACCTGACATGTCAGTGATCATGGAGGACAGGACATAAGGAAAGGAAGCTAGTTGGCGGTATTGAGACACGGTCACTAACTCATGGGAGGCTTAATTCAGTAATTAATTCAGCAGTACTTTTGTATTAGACTGCAGCTTTACTAACATTAGCAAAAAACTAACTCGATAGAGAGTAAATAAGTAATATATATTAATGAAAGGAAACTATTTAATAATTATATTTGATGTTTTTATTTTTGGGACAACTGTAGACATTTTTGCATAATTGCTTGTTGATTTGTGTTTTGTTAGCACATCACTCATCTGTTTCTAAGTAACGCTTCTGTACTCCGCTGTTTAAATGAATCACCTTTGTAAATTGAGTCTTGCGCTTTGTAAATTGCCAATTCCAGTGGCACGACTGCGCTGGAAACTGTTTGACCTGTTGAACTGCTCACATCTGACTTCAGGGAGCTTTGCAGCCTACGCGCTCTTTCTCTTCTCAATAAAAAAAGAAAGAAATAACACATTTCTCCTGTCTGTTTTTCCTATCCTTTTACACACATTGATGCTGAAATTCACCATCTAAAATAAGCGCACACATTTGCTCACTCTGCCTCTTGGATCTAAAAGCATTGTCTTTCCAGTAGTAATAGGAGGAAGGGGAATCGGACCTCAGCCAGTGCCTTTCTAAAGTGTTCTAAATCCGGGATCCTTGGGACATCCCTACCCTAAACCCTGACCTTAACTCTTACCCTGTTCCTCTTATAGAATATTAGCTCAAAAGTATTGTGGAGCACCTGCACCTAAATACAGTTGAAGTCGGAAGTTTACATACACCTTAGCCAAATACATTTAAACTCAGTTTTTCACAATTCCTGACATTTAATCCTAGTAAAAAGTCCCTGTCTTAGGTCAGTTAGGATCACCACTTTATTTTAATAATGTGAAATGTCAAAATAATAATAGAGAGAATGATTTATTTCAGCTTTCATTTCTTTCATCACATTCCCAGTGGGTCAGAAGTTTACATACACTCAATTAGTATTTGGTAGCATTGCCTTTAAATTGTTTAACTTGGGTAAAACGTTTCAGGTAGCCTTCCACAAGCTTCCCACAATAAGTTGGGTGAATTTTGGCCCATTCCGTCTGACAGAGCTGGTGTAACTGAATCAGGTTTGTAGGCCTCCTTGCACGCACACGCTTTTTCAGTTCTGCACACACATTTTCTATAGGATTGAGGTCAGGGCTTTGTGATGGCCACTCCAATACCTTGACTTTGTTGTCCTTAAGCCATTTTGCCACAACTTTTGAAGTATGCTTGGGGTCATTGTCCATTTGGAAGACCCATTTGCGACTAAGCTTTAACTTCCTGACTGATGTCTTGAGATGTTGCTTCAATGTAGCCACATAATTGTCCTTCCTCATGATGCCATCTATTTTGTGAAGTGCACCAGACCCTCCTGCAGCAAAGCACCCCCACAGCATGATGCTGCCACCCCCGTGCTTCACGGTTGGGATGGTGTTCTTCGGCTTGCAAGCAACCCCCTTCTTCCTCCAAACATAACGATGGTTATTATGGCCAATGAGTTCTATTTTTGTTTCATCAGACCAGATGACATTTCTCCAAAGAGTACGATCTTTGTCCCCATGTGCAGTTGCAAACCGTAGTCTGGCTTTTTTATGGCGGTTTTTGAGCAGTGGCTTCTTCCTTGCTGAGCAGCCTTTCAGGTTATGTCGATACAGGAATCGTTTTACTGTGGATATAGATACTTTTGTACCTGTTTCCTCCAGCATCTTCACAAGGTACTTTGCTGTTGTTCAGGATTGATTTGCACTTTCCACACCAAAGTACGTTCATCTCTAGAGACAGAACGCGTCCCCTTCCTGAACGGTATGACGGCTGCATGGTCCCATGATGTTTATACTTGCGTACTATTGTTTGTACAGATGAACGTGGTACCTTCAGGCGTTTGGAAATTGTTCCCAAGAATGAACCAGACTTGTGGAGGTCTACACATTTTTTTCTGAGGTCTTGGCTGATTTGTTTTGATTTTCCCATGATGTCAAGCATTGAGGCTGTTACGAAACCCGTGGCTTTAAACGTCTAGGGTGGATGGACAAGAGACCCGTAACATAATTCATGCAAATTAGAAGCGTGACATGGAACAGTGAGAACAAAAACTACACGACAACCATAAACTACCGTCAAACATAAAAGGTTTATTTTTGAACACACGGTAAAGGTTTGGGAAAAAGGGCTGAGCAGGATCCAAGAAATAAAACAATAGTGTAAAAAAAAACTAAACTGATCTTGCCTGCCTCAAGAACCGCTAAGCTACTGCTAATCATACAAAAATTACAGTGGGTGATCCGCTCAGGTCTAACTAATGTTTTTAGACAGTTTTCTTCCTACGGGTAATGTACACCCAAGGGCAACTTGCTTAAATTCCCCTTTTCCCAGAAACAAACAAAGTTACCAAAACAGAGTAACCAGCAAATGAGTGAGTACACAGGACACCACAGTATCCATACTCACATACAGAAATAGTCTCTAACAACAAACACAACTGACCGGCTTTTAAACAATGGGATGTGTGATTGAAAAATCAGAAACAGGTGGTGAAATGCAGAGGAATGTCCACTGATTGGTCCACCTCAGCAATCAGCAGACACCCCAACGACCACCAATCAGGAACATACAGGACACCTGTGATTAGGGCAGAAGGAGAGGAAAAACACAAAAAGACACAGGATACCTGTATCTGTAACAGAGGCACTGAGTTTGAAGGTAGGCCTTGAAATACATCCACAGGTACTTTCTGGAATGTTCCAAGCTGTTTAAAGGCACAGTCAACTTAGTGAACTTCTGACCCACTGGAATTGTGATACAGTGAATTTTAAGTGAAATAATCTGTCTGTAAACAGTTGTTGGAAGAATTACTTGTGTCATGCACAAAGTAGATGTCCTAACCGCCTTGTCAAAACTATAGTTTGTTAACAAGACATTTGTGGAGTGGTTGAAAAACGAGTTTTAATGACTCCAACCTACAGTGGGGGAAAAAAGTATTTAGTCAGCCACCAATTGTGCAAGTTATCCCACTTAAAAAGATGAGAGAGGCCTGTAATTTTCATCATAGGTACACGTCAACTATGACAGACAAAATGAGGGAAAAAAATCCAGAAAATCACATTGTAGGATTTTTAATGAATTTATTTGCATATTATGGTGGAAAATAAGTATTTGGTCAATAACAAAAGTTTCTCAATACTTTGTTATAT